TTTCGTTGGAAGCGTGTCTGGAGTTCTGGGCGGCGCTTAACAAAGTTATAAGCCCAACGCGTCCCGACGCGTGGCGCGTCACGTGCTTCAAGAAGTCGATTTGCTATATCTTCCACTACAGATATCCGCGGAGGAAATCCTTTTGTAGCTAGGTCGAGGATATGTTGAACAAGTACTGATTCCTCTAGTCGTGGCGCGTCGCGTGCTTCAAGAAGTCGATTTGCTATATCTTCAACTACAGATATCCGCGGAGGGAATCCTTTTGTAGCTAGGTCGAGGATATGTTGAACAAGTACTGGTTCCTCTAGCTCGGTCATTTTCCGTGAATTGGCTAAAATATCGCGTCGTGAAGGTATACCAAGCAAACGTCGACCTAGCTTCCGGTGGTCTACAGAATAGGCCCTGGCAGCAGCTCGAGCACGTAAATTTGGGTCTTTTTGCATAGCTTGGATAGCTAAGACTAACCGGCTTTCGTCATTTTTCAGAGGCATCCTTCGTTGTAGAGAAATTTAATATTTTGTGGAGGTGTGGTGGGGTCGCCGGGTTTTGGCCGGTTCGCTATACATGCACGTTATAAGAAATTAATAATAAGCCTTTTTATAACGTAATAAATAGATAATAAATAGTAGTAGCTTATTATAAATAAGAGAGTACTTACTAAGTAACTTAGTAAGATAAGTATCCTATATACAAGCATACTCTTCTATCAATAATACTATATTTATTGTTCTATATAGTATAATTATTAGCTCTTTTAACCCGCCTATATACTCCTTAAGCTAACTCTTACCTTTATTTAGTTACACACCTTTATAGGTAGCGAGGCATAGAATATTAATACTTCTTTTTACTACACTAAATAGAGCCTTCTGATTAGTCTATAATATATAAGAAGTCCAAGTATTTAAAGCTAGCCAGCAATATAAGAAATTAATAATAAGCCTCTTTTGTAACGTGACGAATGGACGATAAATCATGTAAAAGTAATATCTAATATTTCTTAGATCCTTCTAAGTGACTGTCGTAACAATACTATCTTCAAATGACAGATACTGTCTCCTTCTATAGTCTAAAACCAATTCTTTCCGGGGCTTTGTCGACTACTAACCACCTCTTCTCTAAGAACATTAGAGTACCTCGCCTCCCTGAAAGGTACAACAGCGAGTTGCTCTCTTATTATCAAATATTGAAACCGCTAACGATAACTACCGGTTCCCCTTTCCGTACGTCCCAACGATCGGCAAATGGAACTCGATTCCATGGAATTATGGAATTCCATGCTAAAAGTAAAATTCCAGAGCATCTTATATATGGAATGGAATATTCCATCGAACATGCTCTGGAATTCCATGGAATTATGGAATTCCAGAGTGGCTTTTGACTAATCAGAAGGCGGGATCTAGGAGGGGGTTAAGTACTCTATTTCGTACACCTATGATACTACTTATATTTATTTTCTCTTAATCTCTTTACTACTTATTTACATCTCTTTAGGAGTCATACATAGGCTATCTATATTACGTAATCATTTATAGTATTAATAAGAATCTATTATAGTTAGTACGTATTCTTACTACGCCGTCTATCGCTTACATTACCTAGGTAGTCAATGCTAGTGATATTCCTAATGAGTACTAACGCGGCCGAATCTACACTTCCTATTAGTCAATCGGACCGGGTAGACCTTTTTCCGCTCATGTGACTTGGTTCCAGGGTATTCCAGTGGAATAGGGGTTATAGAGTAGAATAATTCTAGAATTATTCTAAATGGAATGGAATATTCCATACCCCCCCTCTGGAATGGAATGGAATATTCCATACCCCCCCTCTGGAATGGAATGGAATTCCAGTTGCCGATCGTTGGTACGTCCTCTCCTGGAAGCAGCAAGGGCAGATTATCGACTCAACTTTAACCAAAAAACATTTCGACAATCCCCAAAACATGCAGTTTTCGAAACACGGCGAGGTTTTCAGCTCTCGAAACATCATTGAATAAAAGTATTCAGGCCTAAAGCAACTACCCGATGGAACAGGCTAAAACTCAAGGGGTGAGCAGGAACACATCTGATCAAATGCATTGGAGCACATAGTAGCGATATTATAGCAGTCATCAGATAAGATTCACGTCATTGATTAATCTCAGAACACGAATCCCATCGGGATCTATAGGCATCCCACATTCCATGAGAACCCCAGACGTAACCACCATACTCCACACTGAGCCATCGAGAAGCGCTAACGCTGCACTGCTGCCTCGCTTGTTCCCCTGAACTCTCGGCTCTTTATCGCTTTTGAGGTACCTCCCCTAGTCCGGTTCGTGTCCCAACACGTCGGATCCCGCACTTCTCATCTAGAACTTCATCCTTCAAGTTTCAACACCCCCAAAGCTTAAAGCCTAGAGTTCTCTGTCCCAATTTCTAGCTGAGTTATATAACCACTCTAGATCTCGAGACAAAAAACATGTGTGATCGAAAGAAACGCTCGAAATGGAGAGGTGGAGGTGACAGCGCTCTAGTTCTCACGGGAAGACCCACAACAATAATGCACAAGTTTTATGGATATTCTCAGTTCTTCATTCACAACAATAATCTACACAAGGTCCTCCGAGGCCCCTCAGCTAAGCACAAAAACAGAGTTCAGGCAACCTACCTCTCCCCTCCTTTCCTCTCCATTCTCTTCGACGAACCCTTCAACGGACCCAGCGAAAATGAAGCCATCGTGAGATTACCACGCGGCGAGAATATCCTGCCGTCAACAACTTTCTTACTCCAGAGTCGTATCGCGACCACTTTTCTGTTCCTTGGCGAGCCCATTAGGCAGCGGCGTAGCAGAAGGAGGTGTTAATAGACCTACTTCTGGCCAATTGGGGGAGAGCAGACGTCTAGACTGCCTCTCTAAGTCCTTGCTGCTGGATAGAGATGAATTGAGGGTTCACGATCCACTTGGAGGTTTGGAGAGTAGCGGATGTTAGATATAAGGAGGACCTGCAAAATGATGGTGCCTCACCTCACCTCACCCCGCCAGCCAGCTTTGGATTACCTCTGGTCAAGTAAGTTCGTATCGCGACGTACGGCTTGTTCAATTGGCAGGTCTCTCGATTCGTCGTGCCGAAATTTGTATAATACCTTGAATCACTTTCCCATTGCGGAACCACAGTCGCTTCCACGAACCTCACGAACGTCATGTTGTTTACACTCATAATTTCCGTGCTTTTGCACGCAATTGATGTTCTTGCCGCACCATACATAGTCACATCGTATGTCGAATTATCAGTCTACACTCAGTATAATGGTGTTAAAACATATACCAAACCAGTGGTCCTACCATCAACCATTACAGCACCTCCAACCGCCATCGCGACCTCCACCAGGGCAGATACATACTACACCCACGTCTCCATCGTCGATATCGTGCTCTCTCCAGGCGTTAGAAAATCCCATTCATACGATTATGAAGACTCCGAAGACGCACTCTACAGAACCTACATGGTACCCCTCACCTTCAACGCGCCAACATCCTGCTCATCAACCTCCTGGGCCTTCACAACCACAGTAGAAATCTACATTCCCCCACCAGTGCGAGGAAAAATAAGCGCCGCGACACTATCAACTTCCGCATCAACATACACCTACGAACATTGCAATCCCGTGCCCACAACGGATGTAATCGCCATCCTCAATCCCACAGATGTCGAACCATCGGATCTAGCAAGTGCATCCTCAAAGCACAACCACTAATACCGCTACACACGCTGCACCAGTCCCGGAGGTCTCAACGCCCTCGCAACCCCCACGGGCTCCGACGACATAGGAACAGAAGACATCTACACCTCACGCCACCCCTCCCGCCCAACATCCACATCCACATCCTCCTCCGACACCTCAAGATCCGGCAGTCGGTACGAATACTGCGGCGGCAGCTACTCAGCCTGCTACGACTCAAACTACCGCGCCCTCCTCACCTTCATCCTCCTTGTCATCTTCGGGTGGTTCCTCCTCTGGTTCCTGATCGGCCTTCTCGAATCATGGTACTCCTTCAAAGGACTAATGCAAGGCGAGAAGCGCAAACGGGGGATGCCGTATTCATGGTGTTGTATCTCCTGGCCGTGTCTCTGCTTTACGGGTCCGGTGTATAAGGCTAGGACGCCCGAGGAGCAGGTGGTGCTTAAGCAGAAGTGGGCGGAGATGAAGATGGGTGGGAAGATGAAGTTGTGGGTGAGGTGGGGGTTTAGGTTTAAGTATCCGGTTGAGTTGTTGGGTGCTGAGCCGGAGATCTATAAGAGGGCTTTTAGACAGGGGTGTTTGTAGATGGGGATGTGGTGATGTGTGTGTTATATGTTAATGTTTAATTTGGTGATATCCTTTGTATTTAAGCGACGACACCTTACAATAAATAAACGAGAACCGAATGACATAATAACCCTCATTTTTTCTACGTATATTCAACATTTCCAAAAACACATCAATCTCTATCCCTCTTGAAACCCCCCCTCCCCCCTCTTCTCCATCCTCATAATCTTACTCAAAACTCCCACATTAATCAGCAAGCACACTTCCAAAACCCCAACCCTCCGGGTGCCAATACCCACAACAACAACCCATCCCTCCCAACTTCCCAAGCCCATACAACAAACCCCCCTCATCCAAGTCAGGCCAAGATGTCATATTTCAGATGCCTAGTTCCCATCTCCCCAAAAGTCTGCTTACTCACCATCACACATCCTCATCCCAACCAGCCACCAGCCCTTCCAAAGAGGCCGACGAACTTACCGATACCTACCTATTACATACTAAATTACCGAGTCAACTATCCTATCCACCCGAGTCACCCAAAAATCACTTACTACGACTTCCGTACTAACTTCCCAGTAAACAACCCCAGCGCCCAAATCCCACATCTCCAACTTCCCCCAACTGCCCTCAACTCTCCCTAACCTATCTCAAACCCACCCAAAAACACCAAAATAATACATACGAATGCATCAAACATAACACAGTACACTATCCTCAAACCTCCCACTTATACTATCCCCATAATACCGCATACGTACAGTACATCAGGAATCTTTACGTTTACTCGTACGATTTCCTATTTGAGCGGTCGGAGCGGTCGGAATAGTACGTTGCGCGCTACGGGGCTTGGGCCGACTTGCTACGCACCAATTAAGGGGTAGGATTGTTGAGTACCAGGACTGAAAGTGGGTATTACGAACCTGATATCCTAGATGTATAGATAAGGCATTGAGGGGATAAAGCGACACAATAAAACTATGGATTTGTAAACGACTCGCATACTCCACGACACTGCGAGGCTGCCCTAAGCCCAATGACTCTTGAAATTGTATCGCAAAAAACAAAGTCACAGCAAGCACGTCACGAAAAGGCAAGATTAAAATACGGAGAAACGGTAGTACATTCGTAATCTACGTTTCCCATCTCCATGAGATATCTCTCTCTCCCCTCTACCATGTGTGGGATTCTAATCTGAAAAGAGAGCTGTCTAGAGAGAAGAATCCACGACCAACCATCGAAAATCCTGTGTGTCAATCGACATTGGTCTCTAAAAAATATGATCCCCCCTCCCCAGTGGATGAATGTGTGATATCCGACCTTTCAGAAGATGTTGAAGTTCTCCCTAACGCCAGATGCTATGATGCTCTCTATTTTTCGCCGCAGTAAACAAGACGCAAAAAGATCCCCCCGTGATGTGAGGAGCTTTCAAATGTAGCCACCGCCTTATCTAACGGTCTATGTTGAATCAGACTTTTCTGTGCCAACAGGTATAAACAAAAACAAGAAGAGAAAGATTCTTTTTCTTTTCCGCCCGAGATGAGCGAAATAAAGGAAAAAACGCAATAAATGATTTAATGTCGAATGTCAGAAACAAATAACGCCGCCCCCAAGGTTGCTCCGTAGGTCGTTGAGACCATGCCTATTCGTCAAATCATTTCGCCGTGAGATGTCCAAAGGAAATATTAAGCAAGAGACGTTGAGTCATCTGCTATTCAGGGCTCTTCTATCGTGCACTCATCTAGAAGGTGAGGGTCTTTGGCTTCTCCCAGCTGAATTCTTGGCTGGTGAAGTGACCGTTCTTTGCGGTCTTAAAGTAAATTGGCTTGGCCAAGTCGAGCTCCTTGACAATGACACCTGGTCTCAAGTCAAAGTTGTTGCGAACAATGGCAACCAATTCATCGGATGACTTGGACGAAGTGCCATAGGTGTCCACGAAAATGGAGAGTGGCTCTGCGACACCAATGGCATATGAGAGCTGGACAAGCGCACGTCGTGCGAGCTTGGCGTTAACCAGAGATTTGGCAATCCATCGTGCGACGTAGGCGGCTGAACGATCAACCTTGGAGAAATCCTTGCCAGAGAAAGCACCACCTCCGTGGGCTCCCCATCCACCGTATGTGTCGACAATAATCTTTCGGCCAGTGAGACCAGCGTCACCTTGAGGACCACCGATAATGAAAAGTCCAGATGGTTGAATCTAAAACGGATTAATTTTGGGTTCGTATGGGGATATAATTAGGGTTACATACGTGGTACACCGTCTCATCGTTCAGGTACTTGGCAGGGATGACCTTTTGGATGATCTTCTCCTTAATCTCCTTGCGCAATTGCTCAGTGGAGATATCCTCGCTGTGCTGGGCGCTGACAACAACGGTGTGGACTCGGAGGGGGACAACAGCTCCATTGTCGTGTTTGTATTCGATGGTGACTTGGGTCTTGGTGTCAGGTCTCAACCATGGCAAGCTTCCGTCACGACGAGCGGTAGACATGGCAGCATTGAGCTTGTGTGCCAACTGGAGGGTCAATGGGAACAATTCTGGGGTCTCATCGGTGGCATAACCAAACATGATACCTTGGTCACCGGCTCCCAATTGCTCGAGTGCCTGCTCGTAGTGAAGACCTTGTGCGATATCTGGGGATTGTTGTTCAATGGCGACCAGAACGTTGCAAGTCTTGTAGTCGAATCCCTTGGCGGAGTCGTCGTATCCGATGTCCTTGATGGCATTTCTGATAACCTTCTGGTAGTCCAAATGGGCCTTGGTGGTGATTTCACCAAAGACCATGATCATACCGGTCTTGGTAGCGGTCTCGCAAGCAACCTTGGAGAGAGGGTCCTCTGCTAAGCAGGCATCGAGAATGGCATCGGAAACTTGATCAGCGATCTTGTCTGGGTGACCCTCACCGACCGATTCGGACTGAAGGAGAGCGGTTAGCCTGCGTATCTTTCTGGTCTCTCGAGGATGAAGCAGAGGACATAGGGAGATGTCGCAACTTACGGTGAACAGGAAAGTACCCTGGTTGTGGTGGGCAACACCGTTGGTGCCGTTGGTTGCCATTTTGGCCTTTGGGGATGAAGGAAAGTGTGGGAGTGGAGGGGATGTGGTCGAGGGGGGTGTAGAGAGTGGGATTGTAGAAACAGAATCTGGAGAGGGGAGAAATGTTTGGGGAAGGTCAAAGGTCGAAGGTCGAAGGATGGTAAAGTACAGAAATTTGGTGGGGTTTTATGAGGTGTCCGTGCCTCCATTGCCTATGGCACGCTAAACCCCTCACCGCGATTGCACCATTCATGGGTGAATGAGTCTCACCGCGTTAGCCCAAGGGCGGGTATGAGGTAGAAGCGCTCAACACTTTCACCTCTTTGAAATAGGGGCCCGATCAAAGCATCATTGGCTACGTATAAGACATTTAATTGTGCACACATTGTCATTTTAGTACAACTTCGAGAGACTACTAATATCAAATCGCCACTTCGGTTGTAATTGTAGCACCAGTTATGTATTGCCGCTTTTATAGAAAGAAATTTCAGTGTTGCTTTTCCTCCCACTTTGCCGGCAAATCTAATCGTAATCTTCAAACTGGTCCACGTGTTGATTAAGCACACGTGCTTATTAAGCTTTCTGACTCACGTGATAATTATTCTCGCTTAGAGGGGATGGGGTTAACATTTGATGAACCGATTTCGGAGTCTGTGAAGTGGGCTTGTAAACTGTTGGATAGCGAATACACAAATATATATTTCTGAAACCCCTGCTATGTATATGTTTGCATAAAATACCGAAGATGGTAGAAGAATCCAGGAGGTATAATTATAACTTGCCGAGATATTGTTTGTATGTGAAAAGTTTAGTGAAAGGAAGGATTATGACAAATGCGTATTTCATTGTATTATGTGGTGCACAGTTAGCTATTTTGGTCAATAGAGGGTGCCTATTATATTGGTTTATGCTGTGAGTTTCGCATAAACAAGTCGAAAGTTAACAACGTCATGCATTCAGTTAACGAAGATAAAACTAAAGAAAAAGGCTACACTATACTCAAGCAGAGCGATACTCTAAGCTTCCTCTGAACGGCATACTTTGAATAAAACATTTTCTAACATTAACAGTCATATTTCACACGTTCAAGATATTGACGGGGATACTGCGTGTATTACCGTGAAATCATCCCAAGTTTGCAGGTCAATAACCTCTGGAAAGCATACATGACAGAGCAGCGAAATCTGCCTGCGAAACGGAAATTTAGCTTCCGTTATTGGTACTAGCTGCTTTATATCTGTGCATCCTCAAGAAATTTCGAAGACTGTTATGTGTAGTAGAGTAGTGGGGCCCGTTAGGGTTGGTATGAGAAGAGATATTGAATATAGTACTGAAGGGGGTAACCGAATGGTGTTTAATGTTGTTTTATATTGTATCTACCCAAGAACGCTGAAGGATTGAAAGCGTTCGAGTACTTGTAGTGCTCGAACAGTGGGACTAGCTGCACGTGACATTCCTTGGTATAGGTAAAAGGGGATATCGTGATAGATATGAATTTCTGCGAAAAGACTGTGAGAGCAAATATTCTAACCATACCTCAAACTATGAATTTCTCCCTCGTGTTTGAAAATTAGAGGATACGAGACCTCCCTGGAAATGGGCGAAGGATGTTATAGACGAATGTTACACTGTACGCAGGCAACAAAATATTGGTTGCTTGATTTCATTATCTGGAGTACTTGAACAAATACAAGTCCAACTGTGCGAGTAGAGTATATCTACAGAGAGAAAGACAATTCATATCATATCCTGTGGCCGTATATTCTGCATTCTTCCAGCCACACAGGCGGGACACCAATAGTCACCCACTCCCTCGCTTATTCTCATACCTTCTCTCTGCTTGTATGAACACCACTACAAAGAATTCCACCATACTCCATCATGCGCCCTCAACCCATCGACCTAGTCCCAAACCTACATCCTCATCTCCTTCACCGACCTCGCCCTCGCCTTCTACCCACACCCCCCACAACTCTACATAACCACAACTCTCCCCCAGCCTCCAACCCACCAACAACACCTCTCAAATACCTCCCTACACTATCCCCCTCTCCCTCATAACCTCCACCCCAACCCTCTCCAACCTCCCATACCGCACCACGATCTCCACCCAAACCAGGAACTCCACAGCTCGCAATAACCAGAGCCACATATCCTTACGATTATACCAGGCATCATTATACCTTATAGCATCATGTGCATAGGGCGGCATGTAGAGAGCGAGATCGGTAACGCCTGGGAAGTGTCGCAGCATGGTACGAGCTAGGGTTTTGAGTCCGGTGGTGTCGTATTCGAAGCGCGATGAGAGGGTGGGGAAACCGCTTATGAATAGCGAGCGGAGGTAGAGAGATAGTACTAGGAAGTGGATTTGGGTGAGGTGGGAGGAGGGGGGTGTGGTGGTGAAGCGGGCGAGGGCTTGGATGTTGATGGAGGTGGGGGTGGTTAATATCGTTTCTGCAAAGGGACTACGAAAAAGGGTATATAGATGCGTGGCTCCTCAGTTTGGACAATCCTTAGGATTCAAGATAGGAAATAGGAAATACTCACACACTACTACCCTAATCTCCATTCCAAATACAGAAAGTATTCCTCGTATAAAACAATCGACTCCCTTCCAAATAAATCATCCTACTAACCAACCACAAATTCATAAAATTCTCCGCGAACTGCGATACAGGTATCAAACGACGTCCCGGTAACACGCGACGATGACGACCTTTCTGAACGGGGTGTAGATCTCTACAGAGCCATCGGTTGGCACGAGGTAATCGAAGATCATGAGTCGGATCTCGATGCTTGCTTTTATGAGAAATGATGTTTCTGGAGGTATGCGTTAGTTATCTGCTTTACTCTCCTGTGTCGTTAGCGGGATATATACCTTGCGGAGGCGTTTTGAGAGCCTCGGGCTTCTTGGTAGGTTGCTTCTTCTTTGGCATTTTGGCGGTCGCTTAGGTACGTTAAGGTCTGTTGGTTGATGTAGTAGGTTGAAGTAGTGGTTGTGGTTGTGGTTCTAGAATAAGAGATTTTTAAGGAAAATAACCATACAAGACTAAGGCGCTCTTTAGTGTAGCGCAAATCGGTGGTAGTAGCGTAGCAGTGTTAAGGTGAAGTCAAAATTATTTAGCACGTGTGACGGTTATGGTCACGAGGGCTGGATGTCACATGCTCGCTTAGCGAGGCGCTAGCGCGCACGACCTGTATTTAGTTCCCAGCTCTCTTGAGCTCTCCTTCTTTCCTCGTCTTTTGTCCTAAGAATAGAGTGTTAATTGTTCTGAGTTCTACCTGAAGCACGTCTGTCACAGCACGTAGGTCAGAAAAAACAAAAGGATTTCCTCGCTAAGTAGAACAACTACTAAGTGAATTTAGAAATCTACGAACGTACTTTCTTAGCTAGGTTATAAAGTATTACACTTAACTTATAGAACTAGATTATTTGATTTTCATAGAATAAATTTAATATATAAGTTAGGTGTTTTTTAGATATTATTTTAAAAATAGCTTTTGTTATCGTTTTATCTCTTAAGCTAATATTTATTATTTAGGTTTATCTAGTTTAATCCTTTGGAATAATATTATTAAAAGCTTTCTAAATATATTTATTTCAAAATTATGACAAAATATAGAGTTATTAAGAATTTTCTATTCTTAGTAAAATCTAAGAAAGAAATACTATAATACTTAGGCCCTGTTTAGCACGGATTATTTTATTTTGATTGCTCGGTGGGATAGGCAAAAGGTTTTTGTAATGTCAGAGACTCTTTGCACATCCTATCATACCTATGTATGGGTTAGGTCACCGTTCGGAATAGTCACGTGATCAACGAGGAGCCAGTATTATTGAGAGCACCGATGTATTCGTCCGGACCGTGGAGTTAGAGGACTTTAGATCAAACTTAGAAGTCGGGCAAACTCCCCGTCTGATTTGCATCTAGATATCGGAGTAACACTCGTACAGAATTTTTATTCATGCACGTAGATCTGGTATTTGTAGAGCCTTATCACTGCTGGAATCAACTTAAAGGTTATGAAACTCTAGGATCTACTGAGACTGGTATGTCTATACTGGAAAGAAAGCGACATGACGTGGATCAAAATCTCAGGGCTTAGTTAATGGGGAGATATTTCGCGTTTAATTGTTGAAAAATCACATTACTTCTTGGTCTCACTCTTATATATGGTTTTATCCTTGATAAGTCTCAGGAATAAAAGGATACTGCCATAATAAAAGGTATCGTAGATATCAGCAGAGTAATTGCTCTAATACAAACATTTAGATGCTATTTCTTGACTTACATCCCTCGTCTTAGCCTGCTGCCAAAACTCTGTGCGATTCACGGAAACTGCCAAAAAAGACATATCAAAGCTGCTACAGTATATATGCACCAGAATATGCTGAAATCATGTAATATACAAGATTGAACATAAGACTATGGGTTGCTTGTCGAAAGCTGGTTAAAATGGATAGGTAAAAACGCGAAAGACTTTGTTTAGTTTATCTAATACTTGCGATACCACCATCTGTAAGCTTCACCTCACTCTGTGGCGAAGGAAAATGTATATTACCTACCCTCAAGATAAAAATCAAAGCTAGGGTCTCCACTTAATACTCAATACTAGAAGAGTCTTAGAAAAACAGATTATGAAGTCTCAACTCATCGAAGTTCTTCATGAATCTATAGTCCTGTGCTCAAGGCTTCCTTCCACCTATGATATCCCGACAAACGTGGCTTCAATACTACCAAAAAGAATGTTGCGATGTCATGTCATAGAATACAAAATATGTGGTCTCTAAGATAAGCTGTACACACTTCTAGCGAACTTGGTAGGAATGCAAAGCTTTTATGATTCAGAAAATATATTGCTAACCCATGTATGAAAGATATAATCCTTGCGACAACGTCCCGAATTTCGACAGCACTGATAATGAAAAGTTTCTGTAACAGAAAAAGGAGACCCAAAAACAAATCCAATAGAAATTATAGCTAGACGGAATTTCAGCTTATTGAATGCAGAATACCCTGATCTGATAGCTTGGTAATGCTTTTATCTTCTTCTCGAACTCAGGAATCTCATCTTTGGTATTCAAATAAGGGAACCAAATGCCAATTCGCTCCCAGACATCGTGTTTTTTTGAAACTAGAAGGAAGTATTGCCATCTCCATTCACGTTCCGACTTCCTCCATAATGAAAATAAAAAAATTGCGAAACAGCTGCGTGTATCGATATGAGCAGATGTAGCGTCGTTCAGGTGTTCAAGGTCTTGAAATTGAGAGTCTAAATACACATACTCCTCATATAATGACTGTTCGTCCTGATCCGTGTATGCTTTCAGACCATTATTCGAATTGTACAGTCTGACATTGAATGAAGGAGCACATAACCAAAGTTCTTGTAAGACTCTATGATGCACGTCTTGGGTAGAAAGTCTTGACAGAAAATCAGACCATTCGATCTTTGGCTCATTGCCATTTCCAACATAAATTTTCAGTTCGCAAGGAACGGTAATATTTGAATCTTTTGAACGCAAGGAATAACTGTATTCGATGCTATAGCCCTTCCAACCGGTCCATGACCAACTAGGGAAGCCTTCTCGCCGATGGACCAATGCGTTATCCTGGTGATACCAAGACAGCCCAAGGAGTAAACTGGCGATCCTGGAACCTTGAAAGTTGGGATGATTAGCATTGTCATTGGGCAGTATTGGAATACCCCAATGAGCTTTGACTGAAGTCTCTCTTGAGTTAAAGGCGCTTAAGATACCCTCAAATGCATTTAGAGCGTCGACAGGGAAACTCAAGTTACGCTTTGAATATTCAGACACCAGGCTGAAAATAGCAGTGGTGGGAATATTAGAACTCCATTGCGGTATCCCCGTATATTTCTTCCGGTGTACGACTTCTTCCAGTTCTGTTACTTCAGCACAATCGTATAAAATCTGATTTTCGCCGAAAAAGAGCCTCCGTCGAGAAAAGAAGCTTTCTTGAAACTTCCAGCCACGAGAATTCCAGTAAGAATTAAGGACAGCCTGAAGAGGGCATATTTGACAAGTTGAAAGAGTGGTACCACGAAAGGTACCTGTTATTTGAACGCGGCCGGCACTATTTGAAACGCCAGGAAGTCCCGCATCAGCATTATCACCAGTAGCCGCTATTAGAGTGACCTCTGCAAAACGATAAACAAGGTCCATTTGCTGAATTTGATGCTTGCGATCATCTGCGTCGTCTTGCAGAATACAATATGCCGAGTACAAAACGTAGCGTGATCTTTTCCCCTTCGGTATTCTAACAGAGCATGTTCTTGGGATAGGGTTGGGCGAGCGAACGTGATTTCGAAAATTGGGTAACAATCTTGATGCAGGCGGCTATAGTCCATAGATTCTCGGTTGTGAACCGATAGGAAACGCGGTTTGAGATTTTCCGGTTCGCGATCCTCTGATATCCGAGCAATGAAGTCACAAAATTCACAATCCTTCCCTTCATCTCAAGCCCATACCTGTTCTGGGTGGGAAGTGCGCGAAACCCAAACACATCCCTTCCAGGGTGCTTTAACGCCCTTGTATCCTTCCCCTAGAGCGGCGATAAGATCTAGATCCGAGCAGTTTTCGCAGAGCATGTTGTTTGAAATTCGTCGAGCTTCAAGAAGGGATTGGAAAGAAGGACATCGAGGCTGTTGCGTGGACTTCAGCCTACCTATATACACATCAGCCAAATCCTTGGCATGCATCAAGGACTACGTACCACAGACGAGAATTACCTAGCCCAAGTAACGTTCTAGAGGCTATAGATTGATATCCTACTAATATTTCAAGAATGAAAGTCCCGTATGAGATTTGATGGAGATTGATTTAGAGTTAAGCCAAGGTCAAACAATGAAAGTTCACACATTTCAAGTTTTCATTATTCCTTCCATCGCCTATATAGGCAGGTACCTCAAGTATCGAAAGCGGGGAACCTGGGCGTTTACAGGACTTACATATGCTTAGAAAGCGTGAGTCCAATGGCCAATGGAGCATTTCCAGACGTGCAAATGGATAAAGTGAGGCGAAAGTGGACACCTGAGTCTAATGATAGTACATGATTGTCATCTGTGCATATGGATAAGGGAAGCGACGGCGGTTCATAGCTATGGTTTATCTATAAAGATCATGGCTCTAAGGGAGAGAAAAAACACGCCGATTTACGGCAGAGGGCCACCATACCTAAATGCCGACTTTTTAACCAACGCTCGGCAGATGGAAGCATATTCCATGGAATTCTAGGTAGAATATTCTATATGGAATACTTCTAGAGTACCTATACAATAGAATAGAATTCTTCTATGGATTAGTCTCTGGAATTCTAGGAGCTCTATAGAATTCTAGGGGTTTTTTCTAACTAACTAAAATATAAGGTTTAGGGTGGTTTTAAGTAAATAAGATATAGTTATTATATATATTTAAGTAAATAGGAATCCTAGTACTATACAAATGTAGAAGGATCAGAGACTCTCTATATCTCTATATACTCTAGAGTAGTTAGGGGGGAAAAGGAGAAAGGGGGGCTTTATATAATGTATCCTACTTATAAATACGTATAATACACTAGTCCAAGGTAAAATAGGAGATTCCTATTAGTCTACTAAAGTAGAGATACTTTTTCCCGGTTTATATAACTAATTCTATCTAAATATTCTATATATTCTATAGAATATATACCTCTAGATTAAAATAATTCTAATAAAATCTTAAAAGGAATAGAATTATTCTAGAGGGGGGTGGGGGTCTAGAATAGAAAGGAATTGTAGTTACCGAGCGTTGCTTTTAACGTAACCTATATAAATTTAATAGTAGAATAATACCTAATAATATATCATTTGTTTATTATAGTCCCTTTAATCTTTAAATCTATTTAAGTAGTTTTTATATATGTTTAAATACTTTTTTAGTCTAATTCCTATAGGGTAGTGTCACGAATCACGTGCTAAAGGGCATGCCCCGCGTCATGTGATGAGTTAGTCCAGACGGCGTTCCGACAGGACAGGCACATCAGGATAGTTATAGCAAATAGGGATGCTTAGAGTAGCTAAGCGATCCAAGGATTTCACATGTAGAGGGTCACGTGATATATGCAGGGCGACATGGTCGTTGTCGACCTTGACGCCCAGGGCGACAAAGTCGTTGTCGACTTTGTGACTTAAGGAGAACGAAGGATCTATGTAAGACTGGCACGTCTGCCATTAGATAGGAGCTTCGTGATCAACTTAGTTATCAATCTTATCATATTAGTTTGACATCTTTGATACAAGTAACGAGTTCACTTCCAAGTGAACAACCCGATAGTCTTCTTCTTATCATAGCATACCAACCAGCGAACACCCAGCCAAGTTTAGTTAGCCAGTTTGAGTATTCGTTACACTTAGAGGGGAAAGCGGAGTTTTTTAGATAGTCTAGAGACTTTTACTAGAGTATCTTATATAGAATCTAGTCTTAAGGAAAAAACTACTAGGTAATAGAAGAAGGGCGGTTTATATATAAAGATAGTTATATTAATAAGATTATTAAGAATAGTTTCTTATATATAAAAGCGTTCTAGGACTATCCTAAGACCGTCCTAAGAGCTTCCTAAGAGCGTTCTAAGAGCGTCCTAGGACTATCCTAAACCTTGTAACGGAACGGTGAAGGATACTGTTATTCCACTACTTAGAATCTAAAGCTAAGGAGAGAAGAGCTATCTGAGGAGAAAACCCGAGGTTCTTATGCCAGAAATACCACACACCCAACAGCTCCTTATCCCCCGCGTCTCCCACACATCCCTTATCACGCCACGATGAGGGATTTGATGTGTTGTCGTGTTTGCTTAAAGAGTTTTCTGAGGGAGTTGTGTGTTGGCATGTTTGCTTGAAGAGTTTTCCTTCATTGTTTGTTTGCTTGAAGCGTGGGACATGCATGCTCGCTTAGGCAGCCACTTGTCCCGCGGTCACGAGGAAGAATAACCGAATCGCGACATTCAACCCGTGACAAACCTGTCCTAAATCCTACTCCAAGGTGCAAACATGGTTACGTAAGCCGGGCTAGGTGCGCAAGGCACTCCCGGCCGGCACTTAGGCGCCTACGGGCATATACCCCGCGCGCGCCTACCCTCCCTAAGTAATCAACTACTAATACCGCACGTTATACTGCCTATAATATACGCCTGTTAAATTTCGCTAAATCAACTAAATTTAATAATTATATTTTTATAACGTTAGGGTTAAGCGTATAGGAGTAGTACCGAGTACGTAATATAGCCTATATACTATAGCTCTACGCCCTATATACGGCTCTATAGAGTACCTTTCCGAACTATCCCGGGAGCGTCTAAAAAGCGTTCAAGGATTATTCGAGAACGATTCTAAGACTATTTATAAATTAGACTATTAATATAAAAGACAGTTATAAATCTAAGATTATTTATGAGTTAGCTAAAATAGTCTAAAAACTATTTAATATTTAAATTATTATAAATATAAAACTATTTAATATTAAAACTATTATTAATTTAAACTATTATACTTTTAAATAGTCTTAAGATTATTTTATATTTAGATAGTTATAAATCCTAGACTATTTTCCTTTTAGATTATCTTATATTAGTTTAAAATCAAAAATAGTTTTTATAATAAATAACTTAGTTATAAATTAAAATAGTTTTATAATTTTAAATTATCTAGAAATAGTTTTATAATAGTTTTACTTTTATAAATTATTCTATAACTATCTAAAAAACTCTACTTTCCCCTCTCAGGTAGTTAAAAAAACGCTCTGGAATTCTATAGACCTTCTAGAATTCCAGAGACTAATCGATAGAAGTATTCCATTCTATTTTGAAGGTGCTCTGGAAGGATTCTATAGAATATCGTTCCATCTACCGAGCGTTACTTCCCGTATACTGGATATCGTTATCGGAATTTTCCACCTACCTAGGGACCTACAAAAGCTATATAAGCTGGTCTCTAAGTGGCCTGAAAATTATAGTAACTAATTTCTAAACAAAGAGGGGATATTATAATTATACCTATAAGTAGGTAGTGTAAGATAGTTTTATTTTATTTCTTTGTTTTGTTTTGTTTTAGTAAAGAAAGTAGTAGAGTAGTGGAATGTGTATTAGGTATATTAGAGCATGGTTAGGTAGTAAGTTAGAAGACCAGTGTATTTTGAGATTATTTCAAAATTATAGACTTCTACTTAGTATTCCAAGATCATCCCACCAAAATAAAGTAGAAAGCTAACCCAAAACTCCCAACACCATCCACCATCCCCCTCCCCCCAAACCCCCTAAACCTCCGTCTCCACCCCGGGTTCCTTCCCCCCATGTTCCAGCATCCCCTCCAGGGCCCCCTTGCCCCTCCGACACTTATCCAACGCCCAGTCCGCCGTCCTCGCAGCGCGCCACTGCATGACCCCCCGATGCTTACGATGCAACTGTCGATGATGACTATCATAATCCCTCAACTGACTAACCGGACCCCTCTGCGGCTCTTCCTCATCGTTCTCTCCTTCAAGGATACTATTCTTCACCTGTTTGGCTTTCTTGATCGGGTTTTTGGTGTGTTTGTGGTGGTGCGAGGAGGAGGAGTCTTCGTCGGTATCTTGGTTTGTGTGCGTGGTGAGTTTTTTGTTGCGTGATTGGGAGGAGGAAGAAGAGGAAGAGGAGGAGGATTCGTCAAAGGAGGATCCAGAGGAGGCGATTTCGTCGTTGACTGTGTCGAGGGCTTCCATTACGTTGCGCATGTCGGTTTCTTTGGCTTTGTTTGCGTATCGCTTGTGGTATCCTGATAGACCCCTCCAGAACTTCATTGTGAGCTCAATCTCTCCAATCGCTTCCTCGTTCTCTTCAAGCCCCTGATAGCCCGCTGAGGTAGTGGCTCTTTTTAGGTTCTCCTTTCCCCCTTTCCATACTTGTAGTGTGGTTGTCTGCTCCTCTTCGTCTGCTATATCTTTGAGCCAGAAGACTGCGAATGCAGGCGTGGAATCAGGCCCCACACTCGATTTGCGGAACTCGACGACGAGGGGGATGGCGTATCTCTTGCGAATGGCGATGAAGGAGGAGCCTTTACTGTGTTTGGGCGTCCATTCTCCATTGTTGGCTGTGAACTTTGAGCGCGCCATATTGGAGCGGATTTTGAGACGGTGAGTGCTTAGGTCTTCTGGGAGGCGTATGGCTTTAATGGGGGCTTTGATTTCCAGAGTCCCGTAGTCCCAGCCCAGGAGTTCCTTGGGCAATTTCAACTCCACGCTGCGAAAGACCATGGATATGCGAGCGCGGCCGAAGCCGATTCCTCCTACCAAGGGATAGAGGTCCATGACTTGACTTCGCTCTGAGAAGACTTTGGCGAGGGGAAGGTATACGATGCCTATCAAAGGATCCTTTTCCTTCTCTCGACTGTCTCGGACATTGATCAAGACTTCGGCGGTTCTCCAGTCTCGGATGAAACGTTCTGTGCTAGCGTTGAAGAAGGGCTTAGCGTTTTTCGGTTTCGTACGTGTTCTGTAGATTTTCTTGTGGTTGAGGATGATGGAGCAATAGCTGCTGGGAACGTCGTCTAGTTGTTCGGTTTGATCTTCTCGGTCTACATCCCCTTGTTTGTCTCTTATATTCATGGCTTCGACCTATCATACATATGTCAGAGTCAACGTATTAATATATTCTTGGAGAAATGTTTCAAAGAGGCTTGAAGTGATTGAAAGCCAGTGTTCGAGATTTGGAAGAGTTGGAGTTCTGATTTCCAAAAGCCCCAGATGATGGCTTTCAAAATCACGATATTTTTACCTCCAAACCAAATAGAATAGAGAGAAAGAAAATGATTTGACTTTCGACTTACCTGAAGTCCAGTGATATTATGAATCTGAATAGAAAGAACACCACTCGGATACTCAGGATCCGGCGGCGACGAGCAAATAAGAGCATTCTCCCGCTCCTGATAATCCTGCGCCTTCTGTTGATTAATCTCCTTCGACTCATCATGCGCAGTCGCCTCTCTCAACATCCTCTGCGCATTCTCCGCAACATGTTCCTTCAAATCCTTCTTGCTTCGAATCTTATCATCTTCCGTTTGTTTGGAAAGTTGTCCCTCGGTGATTCGGATCTTCGAGTAATACCCGACGGACCATGAGAGCGTCCCTGGCATCTTCTCGCCGGCATCTTGTCCCGTGAATCGGTCTACTCGATCGCACATACGATTTTTGGTTTTGGAGCCGTGCACGAGTTCCTTTAAATCGACTTCTACTCTTCCCAGGTCATCGTCTGCAGTGTATTTGTCCGAGTCCCATAACTGGAGTCGAAGTTTCTCGCCGGCGTTGAGCTCTTCGGGTGATACTAACATGTACGCCCATTCTTCCCATCTGGGACGTTGATCGCTTTCGATGACTCTGGTTGATAAGATTGTCTTCCCAAACTTACCCCAAGAACATGTTATGTAAGAGTCACTAGAACCCCCCAATGGTCCTAGTCCCCCGTCTCCTTCCTTGAAGTCTCTAGCTTCTTGAATGAACATGACAATAACACCTCGGACGACAGCATCTTTCTTAAAGTCATCACCTACAAGCATTTCCTTGAGGTCAATAGTCAGACTCTTAGGAGCAACGTAATCTGCAAGCGCTGCATCGATTGATGACTGAACGAAAGAGGAGATGAGAGGCACGTTCATCAAATTTGGTAGATGCCTCGATAATGGAACACAAGATAGATCAGCTTTCGGCTGACCGACAAATGTCATTGTGCAGAGACTGAAAAAAGGAGGATCCGGACAAAGCTGTAGACGAAGCCGCATCGTACCGATAATCCCTCGTAATTCAACCCAAACAGGTACAAAAGCACCGCCGGGAAGGTAAAATTTGAGATAAAGATGAGCATTTTTGGCTTTCGATTTGATGGATTTACCGGAAGATCGGGCGCGATATGCAAAAGCCAGCTCCATATTGACGAAATCTCCTTGCTCGGCTTCCATTCCTTCGCGAATGGCTTGTTGCTCACCTTCCTTCTGCTTCTTTTCGTCCTGCTTCTTCGAAGCATCTGGGTCGGCGTCTTCTTTTACTTTATCTTCATTATCCTCTTGCTCTCCTTGGCCCGGTGCTCCACGGCCATTGGCGTCTTTGTCACTGGCCTCCTTCAAATTTCCTTCCTCGTCCACTGACTGATCTGCGGCACCCGTTGGAAGCCATCTTACACCAAGAATACGAATAGCTTCGCTTCCTTGGCCCAAGTCATCAATACTAACCATGCGGACAACCTTTGGTAAACTTGCTTGCATCACATCCTCAAGCATGTCGACCACGGAGGCGAAGAGATCAGGGTTGATGAGCGGCCAAACAGAAGCCAATAGACTGTTCATCCAGGCAACAGATTCTGGTAAACGTTCATTTGTCCTGTGAAATTCTTCTTCTTCGACTCTTGCAGCATCCCAAACTTCGTCCTCCCAAATACTCTCCACTTTCTTACCGAGCCAACCTTGTAATCCTGTTATGACAGCAAAACCACCGCCCGCCACAAGCGATAGGAAAATAGCAATGGCCGAGAGAGACTTTTTTGAAAAAGCCTTTTCGCCCCATGAACCTTTCGTAACCGCGAAAAACAACAATGTCAATGACATGCCAAGAACCAATGCTACACCCGTCGCAATAGCAAAAGCGAACTGATAAGTCTTCATCAGCTCGACCTTCGTATCCTCATAAGCCGGAGGCGGAAACATCTTTTGCATGCCACCATAACCATCTTGAAGGTCTCTCTTCTCCCGATCAAGTTGCTCCGAATCCTTCGAGGAGCCACTACTAAGTCCAGTATTTGCTCTCCTAGTTCCTTCATCTGGGCCCGGTTCATTTTCCGGCGCTCGTCGTAAATCCTTTGCCGTCGAATCTCGTATTACAAGTGGAAGATGTGTGACGGGATCCGTAACTTCACGACCACCATCATCTCTTTTATTGTGTTTCATGTCCTTGCACTTGCGCTTTGGGTCGAGCTGACCGGCAGCCTTTTCCGTCGCAGATACATTTTGTTGATCCATTGCTGATTTCTTGTTGTCCTTTTTGGATTTGACATTGCCATCCTGTCCTGTAGATTGGCTATCATTCCCATTTACTGAAGGAACTTCTGGGATACCAGAATCCCTATCTCCCATTTCCTCGTTTCCTTCGTTTCCTTTATTTCGATTTGCGGTCGGGTGGGGGTTGCCCTCAGCTTCTTGCTTGTCTTCATTGTGGACAATTGATTTTACAGCATTGAAAGCCCTCTTGACCTTTGAGTCGTCCTCTTCCGTGTGCTGTGAATCCTCGGCTTTTTGGTGCTGGTCCTTGAGCTCATCTCTATGTTGACGGTATCCCTGGACTGTGGGAATAGGGTGATCATGGGAGTAAGGTGCCCGATAATCTCGACGAGCGGCGTCTTCTTCCATGTCGTGTGAAGACATTTCAGGAATGGGCTGTCGGTGTACGAGTAGTACGAGTAGGTTGTGGAGTACACCAATATGCTGGGACGAAGATTGAGAGTTGATGTATGGAAGAAACATTCAACCATGGTTGAATTGAAATGAAAGTAGGATGAAGGGAAATACATCCCACCTACCGTTGAATAGATCAAGTGATAACTCACTCTTACCAGTCTGCAGCTACTGTTTTCAAGGCACGAACCCTCCACAAGGGCTGTGGTACTGGATAGGACCTTTGTTGGTCGACCGACGTCACCGATCGCCCAGGAAACCGGGATACACATGAGCCACTAGGGGAAGAAGCTCCGAGCTCTTCTGTACTCCATACCTCTTGAACCACCAGTGAACCAACCAGTTTATATTTTGGATACTCGAGTAAGTCTCTATTTGATTCATTAAACCAAAATGATCCTATCACGTTAAAAGAATAGCACTTCTACGAGTAGCTGAATGGATCAGAATGTGGCATGTAGCGGGCAGAATGGCATGCACTCGCTTGAGTGAAACCTCGAAAACAAAGTGAAAGATACGTATAGTAGAAGGGTCGGAATCCATAGACTTCAAGTATAAGCATACTTCATAGACAATTGAAAAATAAGCAAGATTGCTCGACAGAGCGAAGCTGATGAAACTTCCCAAGCACATGTCGAGTAACTAGTGCTCGCGAGTGAAGTAGGGATCTCATTCTCATTGCTCTCCAGACGCCTCAAAGACCGCTATGCTTATTTCTCGGATACGGCACATCCTCGAGACATACCAAAAGATCATCATTGAAAACCTCCCATTCATCCCCTCCCATGAAAAGTAATATGCAATATTTCAAGAGCATCCTCTACACCATCCGCCCATCGCGAAAATGGCAAAACACCAAACGCCATGCAATCATCCCAAACGCTCGCTCCATCATTATCATAACCTTCGTTCTTCCTCCCGTAATTCGTACCATAGTCGTAGGACGTAAAAAAAGTACCGACCCCTCTACTTCGGAACCACAACCCCATTATGAACCATCAAAGGATCACCATACTGCGCTATAAACCATTAGTCTTCTTCCTCTCTCTCTTACCACCCCATCCTCCCTTCCCCATCCCATCCCATCAAAAAGAGAAAAAAAAGAGACGACATACTAGCATCCCACTCCTTATCCGTTAAATTCTCACTCGCCCTCACCCAATCCTCATGAAACTTCTTATTTTGATAACTCGAGCCAGGAAGACCAAAGTTATGCTTTCCACCCGAGCTGGCGCTGGCGTTGGAGCTCTCGCCGCCATTGAGAGAGGTGCGTGTAGCGCCCGAGTTGGCCTGCGCGTGTGGAGCGGTTTGCGAGCCCGAGAAGGAGGGCAGTGGGAGGGCGAACATGGTGCTGTTGTTGGTGGTTGTTGTGGGGGGCGAGTCGGGGGCTTCGACCATAACAGAGTCGCTGTCGGTGGGTTGGGGTTGGGGGACGGGGATGGATTGTGATGCTGAGGGGTTGTTAGGAGGGCTGGTTTTGTGTGGGGGATTGTGTGGACTTACAGGACATTTTGATGGTTCGAGTCGTTTGGTGAATGTGTGTGAAGCTGAAGATGTTCACTGGCGCGCACAGTTTGTAGTTGGTTGAATCTTATTTTGTATCCCTTCCTCTGGCTAAAGGAAGCTCAAGCTCCAACTACACTAAACTAAAAGCTCCCCCACAATCCGGGTGAAAGTCGGCGCGCTGGCCGAAACCCTGAAAGCACTATCTTCCCAACTCCCGGTCCACTTTATTCGACCTCATTCCACCTCTTAGACCAAACCTCAAAAATGGTCAAGAAAGCAGCGATACCAGATGCATGGGACGACGATTGGGAGTCCTTGGCTGACAAGGAAGCTGGAGGGGTACAGCTCACTCAACCGCCAGAGGAAGAAGTCAAGATCAGCAAGGCGGAGCGATTAGCACGACACGCGGAAACGAACAAGAAGATCTGGCAATCGGCGTATGGAAACCCTGCATTATATATTCTATACATAGCTAATAGTGACACACAGCGAAGAACCCGAAACTTTCCACTACCTCGCAGCGCATGACAATGTCCCCCTCAAAACCGAGTTCAAGCCCGCTCTCAAAGTACTGAGTCGCAAACCAACGCCCAAAGCAGTTCAAAAGATTGACCCCGTAACCGGACTGGCGAAACTCACCTTGGAGGATGAAGATGACGAGGAAGACGAGGTAAAGAATCGACCGAGTCCGGAAGAACTACGACTCAAGGCGCAAAAAGAACGGGAGGAGAAGCAGAAGAGGTATGATGAAGTGCGCGCCAGGATTATGGGTACTTCTGGAACATCCTCACTTAGTAGTGGAGTAGTGACACCGCCCACGTCGTCAGAAGGGAATAGGAATAGGGGGAAGGGTCGAGGTGGTCTACGACAAGAAGCTGCTCGACCAACTAGTCAATCTGGTAGACCAGTCAGCCAATCGAGCTCGAAGGAGTTATATGATCCGGATTATACGTCAAAGCCAGGTGTGGCCATGCAGAAACGCAGTGGAGAAGGTTCACGAACTGAACGCTCAACACCTCGTGACGAAGAACAGATTATTAGATCACCAAAAGGGCCAGATGGAGCTGGGAGAGGGTTCGGGTTCGCCAGGGGTGGGAAGAAGAGTTGATTTTCTACTCTACCATTACCACCCACCACCACTCTTGGAAGCGATCTCAATCACTCGCTGGGTATCGTCAACAACCTTTCCAACATCGCTGACCACTTCGCGATAACTCGTATACGCCAACCTATCTAAATCTATGCCAGTGGTGACCGCCCAATGCGCCAGGGTATCTTTTATATAAGTAGGCGAAATACCGTCAACCGTATCATGACAATCCTCTGGAAGAGTTTCTTCTTCCGTACTGTCCTCTCCAGACCAATACGCCTCATCTACTCGAGCTAGCCAAGCCTTTCGTTCCAAAGGACCAGGCTTTGACTCTGAAGGTTCGCGCCCAGAGATCACTGGGTCATCAACTTTTATTTGTCCACCGCCATTTGTACAACCTCCTGGACAAGCCATAACCTCAACATAGGAATATTCGGGCCCACTGGATTTCCCAGCTTTTCGAGCACTTCCCATAGGCTTGCCTCCTGGCATTCGGGACGGTCTAGCTGGCTTCAATCTTCGGACGAGATTTTGAATATTTCGGAAACCGTAATATCGCGCTGCCGTCAAAAGAATTTCTCCGGCGGCGGACATGACCTTATACTCTTGGACGTCCACATTTCGACCTCGAGTTGTCTGGATAGAAGCACCTGGATGCTGAGAGACAAAATATTGAAGAATATAATATAGATTCCCTCCTGAGCTCCCAGAAGCTTGATTGCCATTCTTCCGTCGTCTGTGGGGGAAGAGGAAAGAATTTAGTTTAGCATCTGGGAATGGAATGTTTCGTGGTAGAGGGCCTCGAGGAAGCTTTGAAAAGTCGACACGTCTAGAGTCAGCAAGCATAAGCAGCTCTTTGCTAGTGATCACACAATCGACATCTCGAACCCCTCGAGTTCCCGTCCCTTCCCAAACAGCATCTGTAAGTTCTTCTCGACTAGCTTCCAGCTTCTTGTCAAAACAGGGCATGATGGCTACATGCCATATTCGATCTGGCGAAATACCATACTTTCTACTCAGAACCGTTTTCAAGAGCGTTCCCATTAATGCTTGTGGTGACTTCAGTCGTGATAGATGCGGTAATACGTGTGGGTGTGTCTTTTCGGCGTAACATATCCATCCAGGACATGAAGACGTCAAGATCGGTTTCGCAGGCTGATTCGTACTTTCTCCATCCACTTTCCCATTTCTATCCTGCATAGAACCCATCACCTCCTCCGCCCCAAGCACCAAACACGCCTCCCGCGCCACATTAGTATCCACCACCCACTGAAACCCATTTCTATACACCGCGCGCCCCTTCACACCCCTCGGTCCACAGAGAAGCTGCTCAACCATCCACCCCGCCTCCTTCTCACTCACCCCAAACGTTGCCGCCAGGCTCGCCCGGCTCTGGGGACTCACCGAAGCTACGTATAGTTTCCCCCCTGTATCAATGTTCTCGATTCTCTCCCCATCACTGCTGATACGCAGTCCTGGTGCGGAATCAAGTTCTGACAGCACCTCCGTGTGGGATTGTAGGGAGACTAGCACCGCTTCGGCGGATGTCACGCAGCCGGAGCAGGCGAGGCAGTCGGTTAGGGAGATTTGCACGGGGGGGAGGGACGAGGGGGGTTGGATGTCGGTATTGAAGGAGAGCTCGTATGCTTCTGGGTCCTGGGGAACATTGTTAGATATTGGGATTCGTGGGAGGGTAAAGGGTTGGTTGCTCTTACGGTAGGAGTTGAGGTTGGTTTGGAGGGGAGTGTCTCGATGGGCTTTATGCATGCGACTCCCGGCGAGATAAAGTCGTTTAGGTCGTCTGCTGAGAGGATGGCGCTCATTTTTAGGGGTTGTTTGTTTGGCGGGGGGCGAGCGCGGGGCGCCGCGGGGGAAATTTAATTCTTGATTTGTTTGCTGTGTCGTAGATAGGGACTTGGTTCGAAGAATGGTTCTGGTGCGAACGTGTGGTATCTGTATGGGTGAGTGTTTGTATATAAGAGCGAGGAAGTAGATGCGCCGGAGAAGTTCGCCTGAAATATTGTACGGTATGGTGGTTGATTGGATTGTGCCATTGGAGGGAATGCCATTGCTAAGCAGTGCAGCGGAGCGGCAACGGAGAAACGAATTTGTGGCGTGGTGGTGGGGCAGTTTTTTTGGACTGGGGTGTTGGGAGGGAAGAAATTGGTATTGTTTGTAAATTGTTTTATTTTTAATTTAATGATGGATATTTACTTGATTATCTTAAGACATTGACTTTTATTTCCCCTTTCTGAAATCATTCAAGAAATTGAAAACTCTGAGAAGAAATGTCGAGAATTAGGTCGATAAATATTCACTTCGCGTGCGGGTGTCTTCCGCCCCCACTATCTCCAGAACCCCTACTCGGACTCTCCACCCTCAGCTAGGACTATGACGTAGGAGTTTTCAAGCTTGAGCTATCGGGTAAGATACTTGTCGCAAACCATTACCTGACCGCAAACCAACAACTGGTACACAGCTATTTAAACATCTGCCTCCCCAAATACATTCTCATCCCATACCTACCAATCTAATCCCAATCTTCTCCTCAATTGTAAAACCACCACTTACACACGAGACACGAAGATGGACGTATGTACCCCTCCTACTCCTCCATACCCAAGCACCACAAGCGCAGTCGAGTACAAGTCTAACAAGATATAACAAACCAGGTCTTCTACGCATACACCTACGGAACCGCAGGATGGATGGCGATCCAAGCCATGCCATTGATCATCTCCCCAACAGTAATCATCATGCTTCTCTCCCCCGAAGTGCGGGAACCAAGTCGTACGTCCTCATCCTCCCCGACAAGACAGTGAAATCCCACCTCAATTGTCACTTTAGTATCAAGAAAAAACATTTGCTAATTCTCATTGGGATATTCAGCGCTGGAGGGATACTTCGCCCGCTCACTGGGCTTCTCACTCCTCACCCTCGGACTAATAATCGCACTTCTTACGGGTTCAATCCCATTAACATCCACGAGTTCGTCTCCCTCCCTCTCCCCTCCCATAAACACCCAACCCTCCCACAAACTAACTCCCACTCCCAGCAACAAGCACCGCAATAACCACCTCTCAAACCGACCCCAAAGCGCCCTACGCCGTGCCCGTCCTGCTCATCTCGCTCCTCTACCACTCAACCGTTGCTTTCTACTGCTACGCGCGCTACACGACGGGCGGCACGTTCTGCTTCGCCCTCGGCAGCGTGGTCTCGGCCGCCCTGGGGAGTGTGGCGTTGTGGTGTGTGATGTTTGCGAGTAGTGGGGGACGCATTAGTCGGAAGACGGGGGCGGATAAGAGGACGAGTGGGTGGCCGTTTAAGAATTCGGAGAGTGCGAGGGAGAGGAAGAAGGTTGCTAGGGGGAAGAGTGGTTGAATGGGGTAATAGGGGTGTGTGGGATGAGGGGATGAAGGGGTAGGGGGGTGTATGATATTTTGTTAATGTGTACATCCAGCGGGGATCTTGGGAAAAGGAGTTTCTTTCTTCCTTTTTTATTAAAATTAAAGAGGGAATTTAAAAACCTAGTCGTAATAATAAAATGCCTTATCCCTCCCAGACAACATAGCTACAACTTTTACCTATGCTTCAAAGTAAGCATGTGTAGATACGATAACTAGCTCAAATTAAGGCTCAAATGCTTGAAATATAAGTTTATATAACTTCAACATTCACCAACCTCACAGCGCACACAACGTATTATTTGCTATACGAGTTCTAAGAATGTAGATACCTTTCCTCTACCTTAAATCACCAGCGAAAGTTGTATTTATATCGTCTTAAAGGGATAATAAGAAGTGCTAGTTAGCCTTAACGTATATAAAAACTTATCCTTCTACGAGTAGAGTAGTAGAGCTTTGTTGTCTAGTAATTCCGTTAGAAGTTTGTAACTAATTGGAATGTGGAATGTGGAATACTATCTAACATGGACTTTTTGCTATACTGTAGTAGCTAACATGGAAGTGACATAGGTAGGCTCCCTAGCTACTTTACCTTAAAGGAGAGCCCGGGGTTTTTGCGACGGTCGCATGCCCGTTACTAATCAGCCTGCGTTCCAGGAGCGTCCCAGAACCATTCCGACTTAGTAATCGTTGCGAGGGATAATTAGTATAGTAGCTAATTGTTATTCTATAACTTATAACTATTCTACGATTATTATAACTTATAACTATTTAAATTTAAAGAATAGTTATCTCTTATAACTATCCTAGGATAATTCTAGAATAGTTCTCGAGAACTCTCTTAGATACTGTTACGGAGTTGGAGGGACTGGGGTCTGGTCACGTGTAGCACGGCACGTGCGTGCCGCTGGCATCCTGTATTTAAGCTTCCGTTCCTCTGGAACTCTCTTCTCTCCTCCTCACTTAGTTGTTCGCTCTATATAGCAGTTTCCGTTTGACTCCGTATTCATCACAGCAAGCAGTGGTTCACTCCACACGGTCACAGATACTATAAAAAGTAAAGGTTATATATATATATATATATAACTACTCGGTACTACTCCTATAGGCTTAACCTTAACGCTATATAAATTTAAGTTTTAGAATCGCTTAATTTAGGTAGTTTTAATAGGTGCGCTTTATATAGGCGCGCTTTATTTAGGCGCTATTATAAGTAGTTATATTATATATATAGTTACTTTAGTATATAAAGAGTATATCTATTACCCTAAGCGGGTAAGAGTAAGCGAGAGTATTCCGAGTCTTATGTAACGAATACTCAAACTGGCTAACTAAACTTGGCTGGGTGTTCGCTGGTTGGTATGCTATAATAAGAAGAAGACTATCGGGTTGTTCACTTGGAAGTGAACTCGTTACTTGTATCAAAGATGTCAAACTAATATGATAAGATTGATAACTAAGTTGAGCACGAAGCTCCTATCTAAATGGCAGACGTGCCAGTCTTATATAGAACCTTCGTTCTCTGTCTAATCGCTTTAGTCGCTCGCCTCAGTCGCTTCAGTCGACAGGCGACTCAGGCGACTGAAGCGATCATGGTCACGTGGTACTTTAATCCGACGAAATCCATGGATCGCTTAGCTAGCCTAAGGATCCCCTTCTGCTATAAGAGTTATGATAATGCTCGACCTGTCAGGGCGCCGCCTGGTCTTCACTATCTCCCGTGGTAACACGTGATTCGTGACATCTTAGTATACTACCTACTAGGTAGCTAGGTAATAGTCCCGGAATACTGCTAGAATAGTTCTAGAATAATTACTAAAAAACGAAATAATTATTTAGAGTAATAAATAAGCGAAAGTAATATCTACTCTAATTATTATCCTAGAGTATAAGATAAACTTAACCTATTACTAGAAGAGCTTAATTATAGTAGCTATTATATTATTTTCGAATTTATAGAACTTAACCCTAAATGAAAGAATACTTAAGCTAGTTTGATTTATAAGCCTAAATTACACTACTACTTTCTTAATATATATATTATATCAGAGCTAGAGTTTCTTTATGTAACGAATACTCAAACTGGCTAACTAAACTTGGCTGGGTGTTCGCTGGTTGGTATGCTATGATAAGAAGAAGACTATCTGTGACAGACGTGCTTCAGGTAGAACTCAGAACAATTAACACTCTATTCTTAGGACAAAAGACGAGGAAAGAAGGAGAGCTCTAGTGAGCTGGGAACTAAATACAGGTCGTGCGCGCTAGCGCCTCGCTAAGCGAGCATGTGACATCCAGCCCTCGTGACCATAACCGTCACACTATCGGGTTGTTCACTTGGAAGTGAACTCGTTACTTGTATCAAAGATGTCAAACTAATATGATAAGATTGATAACTAAGTTGA